TCCTTTTCTTTCCTTCCTTGGGGGCTGATTCCAGGAGCTCACCCTAATGCACTTTCTGCGTGATTCCATTTCAGAGCCTATTTCCTCAGGATCCCAACATGCATCAATTCCTGAGGAGATAGAGCATGCGTTAAACACAAGAGGAAAAAATCCAATAGAGCTGGGGATAGAGTGGGACCAGTCTCACAGGGTGCTGTGAGGATTCCATGGATTAATATGTGTGAAATGCAAAATAATAGCCAGGAAGCTGTAAATCCCATGTAAGTTTTGAGTTGTCATTATCATCATTACATAGTAGTATACATTATTACCACTCATGATCTTGGACTCAACAATGGAGGAGAATTACGGCTTAAGAGCAATTTGTGTGATTTCTCGGGAGTCTGCAAGATCCCTGTGAATGTATAGAATGGGAGCCCAGAAGTCTAAAATCAAGGTGTCAACTGGGCTGTGCTCCCTCTGAAGACTCTAGAGGAGAATCCTTCCTCACCTCTTCCAGCTTTGGGTGGCTCCATGGCCCCATGGCTCCAGTCTCTGCCTCCATCTTCATGTGGGTCTTCACACAGCCTTCCTCCATGTTCTCTTCTCTCTTCTCTGTCATTGGTTTTAGGGCCCACCCTACTCCGGGATGATCTCATCTCAAGATCCTTAGCAGAATTACATTCTCAAAGAAACTTTTTCCAAATGTAGTCCCATTCACAGGTGCCAGGCACACCTATCTCTTGATAGACACCTCTCAACCCACTACAGCAGGTATAAATTGATTCCACCATGGAACTAGACCACCAGTTCTAAACTATCAGGTAGGTTAGGTCTACTTAAAAAGCAATGGGAATCACAGAAGGTATATAGAAAAAGGAGGGAACAAGAAAACAAACCCGTGAAGGGATACCAAATGGCTTTTGTTAACTGACCATGCAGGAGGGAGGTAGAGAAGAGAAGAAAATCAAAGATGGCCAGAAAGCGTTGAACCTCAAGTGCTAGGAGGAAATCAAGAAGAGAGGCTGGATGGTGTGGGGTGATGTGTTCTTGCTCTTTTTCGGCAGGATGTGAGTTGTTTGGAAGAACAATTAATTGGCTCACCCCCGCTGGCTCTCTGTGCCTCAGTTTCCCCACAAGCCAGTGGCATCTCTTACTTTTCCAAGGATGTGCTGAGTTCTCTGAGCAATAAATAAACTTGTATTGCTTCCCTGGTGGGCACTTGAGTAGGATCAATGACAAGTAATAAGGCAGCAGTTTAAAACTGCTGATGTGATTCATTTTACAATGTGGGGGGGACAGGCTGAGTGGCCCACAGGAAAGACAGCTGGTCCCAAATGTTTGAGGCCTTATAAAATGGTGAGTATGTACTTACCCTGCTGTAGTAAACGGAACTGTCATTCCCAGGTTCACAGAGCCAGTGGCCAACTTGGGAACACTGAACCTTCCAACGTCAGATCTCAATTTAATGCAAAGCAAATAATCTTGACCCATGATGATTAACATTCTTAATCAACATTTTCTGTGACTGAAACTTTATGATTCTTTCAACATTGTATATTTAAAACAATGTGTCTCTAAAAACTGGAACCCTAAAGAATGATTTAAAATAGAGAAATCTGGTAGGGGGTTAAAACCATGGAGCTGGACATTTCAGTTTTCCTTGAGATTAGGGAACAAAATTCAAAGCCAAATAACTGGGAGGGAGCAGGAAACAGGGAAGGAACGACTTTGATTTCTAATCTCTGCTCTTTCCGTGCATTTCCAAAGCAAATAAACTTTAACTACTTACTATCCAGGTAAATGGCTATTTGTCAGCTTCGTTAATATTTTCCTTACATAATCTGTTGTGGGACGAGGAACTCCTCCCAGACCCATCTTCTCTCTGTTCCGCAGTGGTTTTCAGAGGGGCCTGGCCCTGACTTCTGAAAATCACTGGCTCCTGGTTCCCCTAAAGCACATCTGACATGCACCTGGCCGGAAGTCAGAGCCCTGGCCTGCAACAAGCCTGGTCACTCTAGCCAAACCCCACTGCTCACAGGGCCCCTGTGTCCTCATCTGTATCTTGGAGCTGAGAAGGAGACTTGCCCATCTACTGCTGAGGGTTACTGTCAACATCAAATAGAAAAAGACTTTGAATTCAACTCTCTTCTTAAAGTTAAAAAGTCAAAAGCAGATTATCTGGAAAAGTAAAGGTAGCTTCCGGATGTTGGGTTCCTAAGGTATTTAGAAAGAGGTTGAGGAAATTCTCAGAATCTCTCCCATTCTCCTACAATGGGACTAGTTAAAGCCATTTAGGCAAATGTTATGTGGACTGTCAGAGAGCACAAATGCTCTGACATGATACCGAGGGCCTCCTTCTCTGTACAGGGACAGGTCAGAATTTCCCTGGTAGCAGAGAGACCCACAGGATTTGGCACATGAAGGGCACGGCTTGCTTCTGTGGGTGAGCCCAAACGGGGAGGCCATTTGTCAATTCTTTATTGATACATCTATTCGTATCTTACAAACATTCCTGAGGTCAGGTAGCCAGTGTGCTGGGAGAGAAACAATTCCCAGGATATGGCTATATTGTCAAGCCGCTAGTCCAGGGGGACATGAACGCATGAACAGGCACATACAAGACACTATGGTTTAAAAAAAATAAAAAAGATTGTTTACTTGTTTATGGCCTATCTCCCCAACAGCAGTAAGATTTATGAGGCAGACTCCATCCATCTTCTTTAGCAACTGCATCCCACTGCATGGCATCCAGCCTGGTACAGTGTAGATCTGATATATGTTCATTGAGTTAATGAATGAACAGATCCATGAACAAACAAACGAACAGTAAAACAGAGATACCAAAAGTCCTAAAGAGGAAGCAGGACAGAACTCAAGGGAAACTAGCATTGGAACTAGACCTGGAAGAATGGAAAGGTTTTTGGCAGATGGAGAGGAGGCCAAAGAAAAATCTAATCAGTGATGTGGGAGCATGCAAAGGTAGGACCCAGGTTGAGGACAGTGTGGGGCCCTGGGTGGGGGGGACAGGTAGGAGGGGACAGAGACACAGACAACAGAAACTGTGTTCAAGACCGCTGAGGCAGGCGTCTCGGCTATCACGGGAATGAGTATGGATTTTGTCCCCCAGAAGGGGCAAGTGGTGTGGATTTTCAAGCAGGGAGGTGACTGAGAATATCCTGCTTAATTAGAAGTTACCCCAAAGATACAAATGTAGTGATCCGAAGGGGAACATGCACCCCAATGTTTATAGCAGCAATGTCCACAATAGCCAAACCGTGGAAGGAGCCGAGATGTCCATCGACAGATGAATGGATAAAGAAGATGGGGTCCATATATACAATGGAATATTATGCAGCCAATCAAAAAAATGAAATCTTGCCATTTGCAATGGCGTGGATGGAACTAGAGGGTATTATGCTAAGTGAAATAAGTCAATCAGAGAAAGACAAGTGTCATATGATCTCACTGATATGAGGATCTTGAGAAATAAGACAGAGGATCATAGGGGAAGGGAGGGAAAAATGAAACAAGATGAAACCAAAGAGGGAGACAAACCATAAGAGACTCAGGAAACAAACTGAGGGTTGCTGGGGGGGTGGGTCGGAGGGATGGGGTGGCTGGGTGATGGACATGGGGGAGGGTATGTATTATGGTTAGTGCTGTGAATTGTGTAAGACTGATGAATCACAGACCTGTACCCCTGAAACAAATAATACATTATATGTTAGTTAAAAAATTTTTAAAAATAAAATAAAACACACAATAGAAAAGGTCCAAAAAAAAGAAATAAAGGTCACTCCTGTGGCATTTTGGTGGGTGGATTGGAGCCCAGGGGGCCAGAAAAGCAGGTAAGGGGTTGATGCTGGGGGTTAGACCTCAGATAAAGAGAGCAGAATGAAGACTGAGCAAGGACAGAATTGAGCAAGGAAGAAGGGGCAGGAGAGGAGACATCCGGGGATCTGCCAACAGAGCATGGAGTTGTTGGTGATGGGGGCAGGAAAGAGGAGACTCAAGGTTAGTGCCCAGGCTGCTGGTTTGGAAACTATATGAGCAACAGAGCCACTCACAGGGAAAGGGCCTGTGTCTGCTAGAGAATAACCAAGCAGAAAGGTCCAGGAAAGAGATGCCCACGTCGAGAACTTAGAAGTCGGGGTGTCGATGTAGGCGTGAATCAAGCTTTACCCAGATAAACAGCAAATAATGAAATATATGAAATAATACAATAATTAAGTAATTTTTGAAGTCATGAAATGACGAAAAAATCAAATGAAAAATAACAAAATAACACCATCATCTTTCTTTGTGTCAGTTTACACAGTGATGAACAATATCCAAATGGCTCACTAAATATTTTAATTTTATTTTAATTTTTTTTATTTTTAAAGATTTATTTATTTATTTGAGAGAGAGAGAGAGCATGAGCAGGGGAAGGAGCAGAGGGAGAGGGAGAGAGATCCTTAAAATAGACTCCCCGCTCAGCACGAAACCCAATGTAGGTCTGGATCCCAGGACCCCGAGATCATGACCTGAGCCGAAACGAAGAGTTGGATGCTTAACCGACTGAGCCACCCAGGCACACCACACTAATTTTTTAAAAATATTTATTTATTTGAGAAAGAGAGAGAGAGCAGGAGGGGGGCAAATGAAGAGGAAGAGGTAAGTAGAGGGGGAGAGAGAATCTTAAGCAGGCTCTACACCCAGCATGGAGCCCGATGCAGGGCTCCATCCCACGACTCTGAGATCATGATCTGAGCCTGGACACTTGAACAACTAAGCCACTGAGGTGCCCCTCACTAAATATTTTTATTTATTACATCACAGCCTATAGGCTGCACACAAAATCCTAGATGGACAATCTCTGGTCACTGATAGGCATTTCCCGGGGTCCTTGACTCCTGTGTGCACAGGCATTCCCACTGAGGGCCCGCTGCAGACCAGGTGCTCTCCCCCACCCTACGGATGCACAGCCGGCACATCTCTGCCCTCGAGGGCATGGTCATTGAGCTAGCTTAGCAGACATGATCACAAGCTACGAGTTCAGACAAAAGTAAAATTACAACTCAGACACACACTGTGAAGGAGCCAGTCTTAGAGGGCGGGAAGGTTCTTCTGAGGACCTGGCACCTGTGCTGAGCTCAGAAGCAGAAGAGAGAGAAGGGAGACAATAAACAGTATCTGAAAGAGGCCTGGGGGTGGGGGTAGCGAAAGTACAAGGACCAAGAAGAAGCAAGTTTGCCCCACGTGGTGGGAACCAGGACAAGGAGGTCAGCCGAGCTAACGAGGTAGCTGTCAAGGAGCATTTGCTGACGAAACTGTTATCAATAAATCTCTGCTAAAGCTCACGAAATACCTGCAAAAGAAATGGAAGCATATTAAATGTGGCTAATTAAATGAATGAGGGATGCATAATAGTGATGGTTTATGATAGTGTGAGCAAATTAACTCAATTTAAAATAATTTAATCTTTTCACAGTAAATGCCATAGCAAAGTACCTAAATTATATAGAATTCCAATAAATATAATTTGAATCTGAATTGCTATTGCTAAGTAATCTGCCTTCCTACCCTGGATGATGTCTGCTAGCTTGGGGTCAAATTCGACTAACACAGGAAGCAACTAGAACATTCCTTGGTCCACAGGCACTGTCCTTCTTTGACAGCCTCCCCTCAACCATGTGTTGAAGGTCTGATGTTCTTCATTTTACAGAACAATGCCACGGAGACAGGGGGGGTGCCACGGTGAGCCTGCTGATGTGGGACAGCAGGCCAACTTTCCATCCTGACTGGGGTGCTTCTTCACCCCACACCACCGCCCCTTGTAAAAGAAAGCTCTTACAGGTGCCTGGGTGGCTCAGTTGGTTAAGCGACTGCCTTTGGCTCAGGTCATGATCCTGGAGTCCTGGGATCGAGTCCCACATCGGGCTCCCTGCTCAGCGGGGAGTCTGCTTCTCCCTCTGATCCTCTTCTCTCTCGTGCTCTCTATCTCTCATTCTCTCTCTCTCAAATAAATAAATAAAATCTTTAAAAATATATATATATATACATATATTTTAAAGTACTTGAAACACAGATTTTTTTAACCCCAGTGGAAATGCAAAGAGAGATTTGGAATTATTTGTGAGATGTTCATTACTTAAATCTGACTGGGTGGTTGTTTCTGTGAATGAAGGCACTTAATTATTTTTTTTCCCCTAGCTTCTTGCTATTTCCTGACTGTAATCTATTTTCTTTCATCCCAGGGACAACAGAAGGACAACAAAAGAAGGATCCAGTGACTTGAAATTCCAGAACCTCTGTCTGCCGAAAAATAGGTCAGAATATTTACTTGTTTATTCATAGAGGAGTGAACATTCATAGAGGAGTCTGTGGCAAATCAGCTGACCAACACACACACACACACACACACACACACACACACACACACACCAGGTTAATGTGACAGAATTTTATTGCTGCCAGTGGTCTTAGAGGTCACATGGAGACCAAGGTTCAGAAGGAAAAGAAACTCATGTGGGTTGAAGTACCAGCACGCGTGCAATGCAGGGAAAGGTTGAGAAGCCCCAGGGCATCCACAGCATTTCTGACGAGGGCTATTTCCACCACCCATCAGGGGTCCAAACAGCCCAGGAGACAGCCACAAAGATGGAAACTTCCATTCTCAGCTGGTGAACAATTTAAATGATGGATCACAGATGCATCAGGCCACAAGCCCACCACCAGCTCTCATAAGCGAGGAGAATAGAGGAAGCCATGTACCTATGTGGTTTCTTCTCTTTGTCCTTCAGCTGAGCAAACATTTACTAAGCAGTCATGACATTAGGGCTTGCACAGGCTAGGGAATATGCAGAGAAAAAAGACAAAGTCCTACCTCCAAGGGGCTCAGAGCCTGAAAGCTCAGAATGGGGACTAATTGGTAAATGACAAGATCCCAATCCTAAAGCCCAATCCAGCTCTGTCATTGTCCAGCAGCCAGACCCTGGGCAACACCCTGATGCCCAGAGGGGGTTGCAGGTCTCCTTGTACCCCGCCAGAGCTCCCTCACTGAGCCCTGCCCGAGCAGTCTCTCTGCCCAGAGGGCCACGAGGGTCTCAGCATGTTATACCACACCTTGCATCCTAGCACACTTCAACTCAGGTCAACCACCAAACACCCATTCAGTTCCTACTATGTGCCAGGCCCTGGGACTTTCTTAGCATCCTAAGATTTACTTGAAGAACTATTTTTCCTAAGAAGAGTAAATGAATGCCTGTAAAACAGAATATTTGAAATATTGTCAAAACCACATTAAGCAAAGGAAAAATTGTGGCTGTTCTCAGACTTGTTCAATGTTTACATTAAATACATTTGAATAATGCATTTTAAGTCAGTTTTTCTTATTTCTTGACAATAGCAAGAGATGGGAGCTGGAAGGGTTAGAAGACTTCCTTCAAATGAAGATGGTTGCAGTAATCACATACATCAAAGTAATATTTACAGCTACATTTGAGAAAGAGAGAGAGAAAGAACAGTGCTTTTTTCCACAGCAAATTATTTCAGGATGTGTCATAGCATGCTCAAGATATATTAAAAAGAGCAACAGACGATGTTTCTGCAACCTGTTCCAAACCATTTATAAACCCAAATTAAAAAAAAAAAAACCCATATGCATACAAATCTCTGTACCACTGCGTATTTTATAATGAAAGTATGAGTATAAATTAGTATTTGAGATATATAAATCAAATCAAAATGTCTGAAAACTACATATTTGGGTCTACTGTCTTACTTCGAGAACTATTAAACCCATGAATTCATTCTCCGTACAAATTACAATTATCAGCATTTGGCGGCGAGGAGAGAAGGATGCTGCGGGCAGGCGGGTCTGCGCAGAGAACCGGCCTAGGGCGCCGGGTCTCAGTGTCACCCGACGCGCTCACTCACGGAGCGACCTCACTCTGACAAGCCCATTTCCCATCTCAGCGCCTCATATGCTTTAGAAATGGTATTTGAAAGCAAATGAGTAGGCTGCCTTGTCCCCCACTGACCCCTGTATGTAAAGCAGTGCACGTATTTGGGAAATAAATGGGTGACCCCTGTAGCACGCCTGGAACATAGTAGGTTCTCAATAAATAACAGGGGCTAATGATCACTGAGTGGTCATGTGACCATCATGTGACCATGCACTGGGCGCCGTTTTGAGTTTAATAGGTGGTGTCTCCCTGGATCCCCACAGTTCTGGTCTTATCAGTCTCCCTTTTATAGAAGAGAAGAAGGCATGCCCAGGATCAGTAACTTCCCCAAGGCTGATGAGCTGGGTGTGGTATGGTAAACCTTAGACTTTTCCATATTGTTACTGGCATCTAAAACAGCCCTGGCACTCCATGTGGCTCCCCTCAATACTGCCAACCCTTAGTTAGGTGAGGGGTCAGCTCCCCCGACAGGTGCAGAGGGCTGTCCCCGGCCACCCCCCCTCCCCTCACACGCACACTCAAACACGCATGCGCCTCCGGGCCACACAAGACGCTCGCACAGATGCTGAGTGCTGGGGCCCCACCCAGCTGATGCAGTCCAGGAGATGATCCAAGAAAAACACAGGACCACATCCACGACACGTCCACACTACTGATACGAATGCATCCTAGAACTCCCCATGGAATTCATCGGGCTGAATCCCCAATATCCACTCCTATCCTGTGCCGCAACCCCACATGTGCAGAAAACGGAAACATACTGATAGATGTTTTCCAATCGAGTCCAAACTCAAATCAGTAGTTAAGTGCCTGACGTGCACCAGCCACCACGAAAGGAATTTTGGCATTTAATCCTCACAATACTGCTCTGAAGTAGTTATTCTAATTCCCATTTTATGGACTAGAAAAGAGTCTGAGAAAGGTTCCATTTGTGGTCAGTCACAGAGCTCGTCCCTGGTGACAGCTGGATTTGGATTCAGAGTCTAACCTCAAGTCGAGTGCCAATCCTGGGTTCTAAGTGACCACAACTTTCTGCTGTGTCGGCACGGTCGTGTGGATTTCGTTTTCCGTTCCTGTGAGCCTCCAGTCGGCTCGCGGCAAGACTGCAATGAAGAAGGGGCATGCGCAGTGCGCTCCTGAGAAGAACATCCACATTCGTAACAGAGCCTCACAGCGACATGTCCTGGAGCGTGGTCCCTGGACCAGCATCCATCAGCACCACCTGGTAACTTCTTAGAAATGCAGATTCTCAGGCCCTGACCTCTGGAATCAGAAACTCGAGTGTGGACCCCAGGCACCGGTGTTTAGACAAGCCCTCCGGGTGATTCCGGTGCCCATTCAAGTTTGAGAACCTCCACTTTAGCATGGTTACTGCGAGTGCAAGCTTCGGAGTTGGAGTAGGAGGGCCTCTGGGCCCAGCACTTACTCTGCCCTTAACCACTACGTCCAGGAAACGGGAAGGAATGAAGAAGCTGCAAGACGGGGGCCCAGAGGGTAGGAGGAAGCAGGGAGAGGCCAGTGCGAAATTCAGAGATGAAGACACAGCCCTTGCCATCAAGATGCTCAGTCTAGGGTGGGGGGAAAGTGAAGACTGGTATTGCAGATCACAAGACACTGTGCCACGTGCAGTGATAGGAACAGACACAGGCCCCCAGGGGGGCACTAAGGGTCAGGGAGGCTAAGGGCTTGCCCACGAGGTTCCCAGCCATGCCTTCACACTCCGAGTGGAGTCTCTTTTCCCATTCCTGACGACAGCACTACAGTTAACACTGTCACTCACGTCCCACACTCCAACGCTCCCAATCTGCACCTCATTGACTGTCCATTTGTTCCCCTTTGCCACTAACACCTGCAAAATAGTTAATTCCCTGGGGGGGGGTGGAGGTGGGGGCAAGGTACAGGTGGGTTTAATTCCTCAGGGCCCAGGAGAGCCAGTCCTTACCCTTCAGATGCAGGAGCCCTGTTCCTGTGCTAGGAGGCCCCCTGCTGGACCCTCCCAGCAGGCAGCCCTCAACCAGGAGACAGACCTGGTGGGGAGGGGGGGAGGGGAGGGGGAGGCTGCTTGTTGCTCTTGACCTCTCTGGTTTCACCCTACCCGCCTCCAGGGGCCCTGAGCAACCATGGCACTGACAGATGCATAAGAATACTGCTCCCTCTGGCTCTCCTCAATGGGCAGAAAGGGGAGTATCTTTCTGAAAGGTGTGGCCGGCTGAGAGCTTTACAGAGGGCCACAAGTGCTTTCACAGAGGGTACGTGGACTACAGTGTGGTGCCCCATCCCTTTCCTGGGCTCGCCCACAAGGAGCTCCCCATGGCAGTTGCTCAGGAAACATTACTGAAGGGTTGGGAGGAAGAAGGGCTGGAAGGACCTACCAGGATGCCGTGGGCTTGAACGATGCCCTGTGCCTGGCACATACTAGATACTTAAATAGGTGGTTGAAGGAACTTTTAGCAGAAGGAAAGGATGGAGAGACGCAGAGAGAAGACAGAACAAGTCAGGGAGGGCAGGGAGGGGGTGGAGGCTTGGGAGCCGTCCACCGGCTGGAGGGGCGCTAGATTCAAACTAGCACAGTGGCACAGTGTCTTGTGATCTGCAATACCAGTCTTCACTTTCCCCCCACCATAGACTGAGCATCTTGATGGCAAGGCCCACCACCCTGCTCCTCTGTGGTATAACCCATCCCAATGCCAGATACGGTGGTTTTCCTCTTCCAGTATTTGTCAGGGACATGGAGAGCCCATATGAAAGGGATCAGAGTCACAAGACATGCGTTCTGTCCTCCGAGAACTTAAAATCTAGTTGAGGAAAGAAAAAAACACAAGGTTTAACAATGAGATTTGAGTAAGAAATTCATAACTCCACACTGCCTTTTGACTCTCCTAGTGTGTTAGGAGAGCAAGCAGTACTGCAGTGCTCAGAGGTGGGGAAGCCCACAGGCCCCAGGGGGACCCTGAGGGGGTAGACAGGGGCAGGGATTCCCCCAGCCCAGAGGGTCCTGGGAAGTGCGAGTGTACACGCTTCCAGAGTTTTCCCTAGGATCCCTTCGGGTTGCTGCATGCCCCACAAATGTGTTTTGTTTTATAAAACTAAAACAGAAAAGAGGAGGATTCTTGAAACTAATCAAGGATTCCTTTAACAAAGAATGAGCCCATTCTTTCACTAATTAAATATAAGCATTGACTTCATTCCACCCTGGTGTGAGTTTCATCTACTTCAAAGTAATGTGGGTGTTGGGAGATGTTCTCCAGTCTGGGATCTGTAACGAAAACGAGAGCCTATTCTAGAGGGGTCTACGTGGGACACATGCACGTGTGTGAAGCAGGTTCCTCCCATGTAGCTGACACTCTGCCAGGGCTTGCTGGGGCAGGCGGGTCCACGTAGAGACCCAGACTTGGTTGGCCATGGGTCTCTAAGCTGCTCTACTCTGGGGACACCCCCTCTTATCTCCGTTTCCCTGTGCACCTGTGCCCTGCATTCATTCCCTCGTCCATGCACTCACTCATGCTTACTTGGCCACACACTTGTGAGTCCAGGCCATGTTCCAGGCATGTTCTGTATTTGGTGCCTGGTCTCCCTTTTAGGGGCTGGGGGCCTGGTGGAGGGAGTTTGAGAAATCAAGTTGTACTCTGTTCTGCTTATGGGAGTGTGAGTTCTGTTGGATAAGTGCCACATGAGCAGATGAGGGCTATGGTGGCCACACAGGAAGCTACGTCCTTCCCTCTCCAGGAGATCCTATGCACACCGGCATGGCCTTTCTGAGATGCAGCTCTGAGCAGGCTTTACCTAGTGCCTCACCCAGTTCCACCTGTCTCCAGGACCATGCAGGCCTTCTAACTCACCCCTGCTGGTTCCTTACTCTCTGAGCATGAGCACACCGTGCCTTTCCAGACCTCAGCTCCCACAGCTCCCTGATACAAACCTGCACCTCCCTCCAGTGCTGGAGGGGAAGGAGGGTGCACCCCACCTGCAGACTGGCTGCATGGGAACCGTGGCACCCCCAACTCCCCTTGTGGGGTGAGCTGGGCCTCAGTCCACCCATCCACAAAATGAAAGGACCAGTTCTGGTAATTAACCCTAATGTTGAGATAAAGATTCCTGTCCACCAAGAGTTGCCAGGAGATTTTCTGAAATGATTTATAAAAGGCTCACACTTAACCAGTATAGAGCAGGCATCCAAATAGAGGGAAGAAGGCAATGAATTTAGAACTTCGGAGTCACCTTCATTTCTCTCTAGATTTAGCAACTGTTATCAGTTGTCTGACAAAAATTAGAATTTTAGCTCTTAATGTCAGAAGCAGGCAGTTTCTTAAGGTGAGACGTGGAGCCGAGCCAGTCAATCTTGGAGGTTTGGGACAGGGAATGGGCTGGCAGGTGAAATCACCCTGACCGTCTCCCAAGGGGCTTGCGGTGCATTCTGCTCCAGCGGTGGGGTGCCTGGGGAGACCCAGAGGGGACCACACATGTCACACTCCAGGGGGCGATGAAGAATTATCTCCACGCCGGGAGCTTGAGCCTGGAGACAAGACCCAATGTTGTCTCTATGGGACAGGAAAAACACACCATCCAAACTTTGTTCCCATGGATAAGTAAGACGCAAGTGCACCCTGCCTACACAATCAGATCCAGTTCTCCCAGGCAGCAAGGGGGTGGGGGAAGGGAGGGATGGCTTTAATTTAGTGCCCGTTCAGGATTAAAAATTATTAAGTGTATTAAATTATTAAGAAGTATTAAAAATTAAAAATAATTCGGAAATTAAAAATCTTTATTTGTAATAAGGCTTAAATATTGAAAACCACAAACCGCTGGAGGTCAGTCTTGTTCATTTCATATTCTGTGAACTCCCCCCACCACGACGTGGACACCTGCCTGCACAAGCCAGAGATGCAGAGGAAGGCCTGCTGCCCTCAGGCCCAGAGGTGGAAGGAGCAGGGGATGGGAACAGTAGAGAGGTGGCTGCCAAGCCATCCCACCATCCAGCCGAGGCCCGTTTGCATGTGGCCGTGTTATGGATGCCATTGAGGCAAAGGAGACAAGGAGCATCCTTGTAGTTCCCTGGCAAGAGGCAGCTTGCTAACGAACACATGGGGCTTGCCTGAGCATAAAGAACACATCAGATCTCCATGAAGTTTGCTAGCAGCCTCTTTTGCTAATCACCCTGGCCGTCAGACTGCAAAGAGCATTAACACAAGAGCCTTTTCAGGTACCTTTTCAGCTGCTGGTCTGCACAGCAACCAGACATAACTGTGGAGTCCAGGTCCCCTCCGGGGCCCCCTCCTTCCCAGGCCCTCAGAGGCAGGTTCCAGCCTTCTTCCCCTCCCTCCCTGCTTTCCGGGCTCAGCTGGAGTAACAATGCTGCTCCCTGCTCTGCTGAGGCTTCCTCTGCTAATTCATTTGGCTTGCACTGACGCACAGAGAGCCCTGGGGTGCAGAATCCCAGAGGATATGACATATGAATGAGCGCCATTGCTTTGGGACCCCACCGAGAGGCAGAGTGGATCCGAGAAGCCACTTTCAGACAGCCTCGACAATCGGGAGGAAGCTCCAAGGCAAGAGAGCTGGGCGGTCTACGTCGCTGCTGTAGGCTTGGAAATAATAAGAGTAGTGGGACAATTCCCAGCTCTACTGATTGCTTGCTGGGCCACTTCAGGCAAGTCACTTACCTCTTCCGAACTTGAGCTGCACCTGCAAAGCCGGGAAAGCCTGCCCACCAGAGTGGAGCCTCGCTCAGTGCGGGACAGGCTCCACTCTTCATAGGTGTCAGACAACCCCACGTCTGCCTTTGAGGGTCCGAAACTTGGAACAACAAATTGGACAACATTGCCTCCGATGAGTTTTTAGCATTAACGGTTTTTGATTCTAAAAGCCCAGGTGAAGCCAAGGTCAGAAGAAGGACAGAATCCTAGCTTAAGAGCCAAAGTTCTTGCTAGGCTCCCCGGGGAGAGTGAGCATCTTCTTCCTCACCCCTGAGCTCGGGCTTACACACTTCGCTGCCTCCAGGCAAGGGCCTGGCTTGCCACACTCCCATCAGGCTCGCCATTCACAATCGAGAAAACATATTTACATTTCACGTGTCACGAGTGACAGGTCTGGGGAGCCTTTGGAGGCCTTAATCAAAGACAAAGATGTCAGGGAAGAGGCCCTGTGTTCAAAGTGTCAAGAGAGAGCTCTAGGGCCCCAGATAAATGATCTGCTCCTTCCTGGCTGATTTACTGTTAATTTCTGCAGAATCTCGGGCAGCTTGAAAGGACGCCAAGAGCGAACCACAAGGGCTCTGAGACCACAGCTGCACACTGCTTCCCGACTCACCACCACCTGCGGGCAAGGCCGGGGAGGCGGCGAGGATTTGGGGATCCGACAGGCTGGTGTCAGGTCCCTCGCTCTCTGTGGGACTGGGCAAGCTGAAGAGTTTTCTGAACCTCCCATCTCCTCGTCTGTAAACTTGGGACAGTGTTAGCCACCGCACAGGGCCAATCTGAGTATTAAAATGGAAGAGAACAAAGGGTGAGCAGGAAGCCAGACTCAAGGGCCGCGGCCTCCTGGTTACTCACATCTCCCAGCTTAACTGTTGGGGGCCTGATGTCCCAGCCACCAACCAGGCCTCATAAATATTTACACCCGGCGTGTGTTGCGATGCTCAATTAATTGCTCCTATGACGTACTTTGAGAGCCTCGGAGGAGAGGTGCTGTGTGAGGCCCAGAATTATTAAAGGCACAAACAAGTTGGCTCACAGAAGCAGCATCCTCCAGAGCCTTCCACCACCCCAGAGCTTTTCCAATCTTTGCCCAAAATCTAATCAAAAGGTGTTTCCAAAAGCACCCTGTCCAATGTGAATGTGCTGGCCAGGCAAAGACCCTACTAGAAAATGGACAAACACACGTACAGACAACTCACAATAGAAAAAATCCAAGTAGCCTAAAACCACTTGGAAAATAATAATAATAATTCAGGCTCACTAGGCATCAGGGAAGTAAAACAGGTAAAATAAGGAATCAGGTGCCAAGTAGAATCATTTTAAAGGATGGATTTCAGGGTGGTGAGATCCAGCGAGATGGTCACTTTCCTCTCTGTGGATTAGCACCTAAATTGACCCAGCCCACCTGGAAGGCACCTGAGTGATCTACAGTGAGGGCTTTGAAAGACCCCCACTGCCTGACCCCTTCACTGCACTTGGTGGAGTCTCTCCATGGAAATATTTGGGGATTAGATGAAAAATGCAAGCATGGATGCTCCCTGCAACATTATTCACAATAATAAAAACTAGCAAGAACCTAAATGTCCCCTCTAAAAATCACAGCCAATAAATATCATGTCTTTGAATAATAGCTAGAGACACATAGTGCATTTTTAACATCAGCAGCCCATACATTCCTGTGCTATTTTTATGCAGCTATATGTTTAGATGTACGCATACACCTCATCATAAACACATGCACATATGTATGGCAGATTTGCCAAAATATTACCTGGGGCGGAGTTGTTTTCTTCTCTGTGCATTTTTCTATTTTCCAGATTCTCTGTAATGAGATGTTGTTTTAGATCTAGAACAATATGAACATGAGGAAATCGTTCCGTAGGTTGATCTGGGAAATGCATGTGATAGCTGCCCACTCCTCTGGGGAAGGTGTGTGACCCACATGCCATTGACACTGACCTTGGTTCTCTTTTCTGCCCTAGGTCATGGCCTCGAATCAACAGCACCGCAGGTAAGTCAGGGGTCCTCCGTCGCCTGAGCGGTGGGAATGTCAGCATAGGACTGTCAGTTCTTCCTTCCATTCTTTTCTGCTTTTCCTTCGATAAAACTATCGGCCTGTTCCAACTGGCATTAGCCACTGATGGTCTCTCCCTCTGGTTGCTCCTGGGGGGCAGCCTGGTCTGTGACTTCCAAAAGCTTTGAAAGCTGGTAGGCTGACAGGGAACCCTGACTCCCCACTTTTTAGCTGTGAAGCCTGGGACGAAGCACAGATCCCTCCAGGCCCGAGTTCCTTCATCTGTAAAATGAGTGAAAGTCTGCCTAAACGTCAGCGTAGTGGCCACTCGGTAGCGCTCGTTCAACTGAACTCTATATAACAGCTTCCCCCCAAAATATGTGTTGAGCAGATGACTGATTAATTTTATGTTTCTCTTGCATCTTTTTTAGAGCCTAGTTCTGGATCCCATTAAAGTTTGAGTAAAAGTATGTACTATTCATCTTGGAGCATCATTATTTCAGGGAAAGTCCAACAGAACGTCCCTAGAAAGCTGGTGGCCATAAATGATGGCTGCAAAGAGACAGAATAAAGTGAGAAATAGACAAGAACAAGTAGCCTAAAACCACTTGGAAAATAATAATAATAATTCAGGCTCACTAGGCATCAGGGAAGTAAAACAGGTAAAATAACGAATCAGGTGCCAAGTAGAATCATTTTAAAGGATGGATTTCAGGGTGGTGAGATCCAGCGAGATGGTCACTTTCCTCTCTGTGGATTAGCACCTA